TCTATTCTGTATTGTTGTCCAGTTTATCAATCTGTTCTTAGTACAGGGCCCCAAACGACGGCACAGGCATATTTTGAAATCGGCCTGCCACATGTTAGATGTGGCAGTACTTTTTAAAGCAGTTCCTGGTCACTTTAGATTGCACCGAATAAAGTTCAGCGCCCTACCGGCTTCAACAATCACATCTACGTTAGCATTCCATGAACAATCACTTCAATCAGTGAATAAAACAATACCTAAATACTTTTATGTAGGTTGGTTGCTTACTTGATTATTACTTATATAACACTGATTTTCAAGATTCTTTTTTCTTCGTAGAACATAGTTGTACACATTTTTGGGGGGGATTCAAACTAATTTTACACTCAAAACACCAAGTATGAATATGGTCTAAGCCCTTCTGTAACTCAGCGACATCATTCTCACTCTTAATTTTTCTATACAGAACGCAATCAATGGCGACCAACTTCCTGCACGAAGAGACAGCTAGTGAGATACCCACTGTCTGACACATGAGTGAACTGGAAAAGTCAGTTTTGAGACATCAGACCCAGCCAAAACAATTAGATGTTCCAGACCATGCTAATTAGTTTGTTCATCATTAGCCACTTTCACCTCGGCAATTTCGTGAGATAAAAACATACAAATAGCCATGCGGGAGATCGTGTTTACAGCTTGCGGGCAACTAGGTTATTACACAGATGACTGGAACTAGTGAGCCAAAAAAGCCCCTTTCGGAAGCCAGACTGTTTAGCAGACTGGGGTGAAGTGTGGAAGCTGCTGTTTAGTCTACAGCCCAGGAAGTGGAGTCAACACAGACAGGGTTTATGTGGCAATTCAGACCACAAGTGAGTGTCGAGTGTCGCTGCTTTGGATGACTCTGCACGCCATGATTTATAGAAGCTATAATTTTTTTTTTCCTTTCAATAGATATAAATTTGCAAGCCGGAAACGCCCATTTAACATGGTGGTTGCGATATGGACATAAGAAGGCCGCAGGATGCTGACAAAATGTTAATAAACAAAGTGTACATTTCAATGTACTGCTCTCACCATTCTGCTCCAACGTGAAGCATTCGTACAGGCCAAACAGATTGCTTTATAGGTATGCAGTACCTCGCAAATGCTGTCATATTCACTGCTTCTCTCCCATTGACCCAATTTTTTTTTTTTTAAACGAGTTCAAGTGTATTTTTCTGGCGACGACCCATTTTAAACATCCAGACATGCAACATCTTTAACACATAACAATCCGGTGTACAGAGAGTAAAGTATCCACGAAAAGTAGTAGTTCACATTGGTTTAACATTTAAAATTTGTGGTATGCAACGAAGGCAGGACAACAAAACACTGTGCGTATCCGCACTGCCACGTGCCCGTTCTGCTTCCTTTGTGTTTCGAACTCTAAATGGTGATGGATAAGGGATTGTGCCGCTCCCAGGATGTACGAAGCATACGATTCGACCTGAGCGTACATCGGCACGACCCAATTCCCCGCACTGCACGGCACAAGGTCAGGTCTCAGAGGCCTTGTGGGATTTTCCAGAAAGGTCTATAACTTCTACATGCTTTGCTGCAAACAGCTTTGACACAGTTTACACTTAAGATTGGCCTACCGGATAACAGCCATGGTAACATATCCTATAAAAAAAAAAAAAAACACCAGTCAGCATGCCAGTCTGGCAGATAAAAACAAGAGAAAATTTGTTGCATTGAGACACCTGTAGTGAAACACTTGTATATTGCCACAAGTGTTTCAATGCAACATCTTTTCTTTTCTCTATCAGACTGGCATGCTGACAGTGGCGTTTTTCATTGCACGATACATTGCCTGACCTAAATTTGTTTTAGGTACTAAACCGGTCAGAAAAGTTGCAATCCGTCATTTGCTTTTACAAAAGAAAAAAAAAAAAAAAAAACAGACAAAAGGGGCGCAGAAGGCTCTGGCTTTGACGGAGCACTAGCACCCCAAGACATGCTAGATGTCTTGGCGTGCCAACGACTAACCGACGACTTCGTTCACAACTTAGCAGACGCTTCAGCCTGTTAGCCTCCTCAAAAGGAGTCTGCTTAAAAAAAAGTGAGGGGCCATTTTTGTTTTCCACTTCCCATTATCGCCTACAGAAATTTCCGATCAGGCACCCTTTCTTCTTACGAGTAACAATACCACAAACAAAATTCTTCAACACATTGCTTGAATCAAGGATCGAGATTGTATCTTGGATTCTTTGTTTATAACTTCAATTCCTTGTTTACGGGGCTTATTTTTCTCCGAATTCCCGGGTGTTTTTATGGGTTTATTTTTGTCCAGACATTCGGCGTTTTTTGGTGTAAATTTTTGGTGTCTAGCAAAAGACCTCCAGAAAACGTAAGCACCACCCGAAAACATGATAAAAAAAAAAGTTCCAGCACCGATATAAGAAGGAAACAAGACGAGGTGGGGTTCTTAAAAAACAAGCAGCTTCGTGTACAGTCCAGTGGGAGTTATTTTAAAGCTTGGGTTAGCTTCGATTCAGGATATTTTCGGTTTCCCCCCGATTTTTATCAAACCGGCTCAAAGGGTTATTCTTTGCAGTGTATCAGCATATACCAAAAACACAAAATCATACCCATCATTACAGAAAGACTTACAACCAAGGCCTAAATCTCAGGGACCCAACACTTCGAGGCCTACTTGGCTTTTTTTTCGGGGGTGACTATGGCTGTGGTCGTTGAACAGTAGTATTTTTCGTCTTTCTCTTTTATGGTGCCATTCTTTCTCTCTGTGTAGGTGATGTGGCAAAGCCCGATGACGTAGGCAGACAAACCACTTAGTATATTTTTGGCAGTTTGAATGTGCCAGGATTCCAATAAAATTCCCTGTCAGGGGTTACCGCCGAATTCAGAAACCTCACTCAAACTACACTCAAACTGAAGGGCCCCTCCACTTCCTCGAGGAAGGCGTGAGGGCCGGCGCTGGCCAATCGCGACGGCGGATCCGTCCTCGCGATTGGCCAGCGCCGGCCCTCGCGCCTTCCTCGAGGAAGTGGAGGGGCCCTTCAGTTTGAGTGTAGTTTGAGTGAGGTTTCTGAATTCGGCGGTTAGTCTCGACGTCGGTGATGCAGGTGTCCTTAAAGTCGATACAGTGGTCCCTGACGTCGCAGTGTTCAGTAACCGTGCTGCACACGCGAACAAAATTGTGAACATTGTTTCGGTGCTGGTGGATCCTCCCCTCGAAGTTCTTGGTTTTGCCGATGAATGCGGCTGGACAATCCTTGTAGGGAACCCTATACACATCTTGTGCTCTCTCCCTCTTTAGAGGGGCTAGGTTTTGGCCACGTCATGAGCTGCCCAAGTGTTAATATTTGCTTGCGGGCCATCTAACAGACACTGTCAGATCCAAAAAGATAATAAAAAAAGAAAGAAAAGAAACAGAGTCTGCATTTCTTAAACTCCAAGTCACCAACGAGAGAAAAGAAAGCAAAACCCAAGCGTCCTACAGCTTGCCTAGTTCACCATTTGGAGAAGACTTGCACTAAACAAATTAAATTTTCTCGTTAAACAAGTTCAACTTGCACGACGACCGGAAAAGGGGAACTTGGATCTCGGAGGCCAATAAAACAATCTCGACCGCATTCCAGACGCCTCGGGCGGCTTCGAAATAAACCTCGACGAGGCTGGGGCTATCTAGCACGCTGCGCATTATCGGAAAGTGGTCCCGTCGGCGCGAGGACTATTTTAGGAGCGCAGGCGTTCCGAGCGTCGTCTCGGCTTAAAAACTACATTACACTGGATTAGAACGCGCGCAGACTGCTTCGAAGCGACGCAGAGCTCGAACTACACGCGCTGTCACGCTCAGAGAAGCGCGGGGCTCAAAATCGCCCTAAAATCGCTCGCGCGGTGGCGCGAGTTGCGATTTTCGCCAAACACGTATTTCACTCGTCCCCACGGCATAAGTAAATTTGAGAGGCGAACTTGAACCGAATCAAAAGCTAAACAACACAAAACAAAGATTTCCATCATACGACCCAGACCGGCAACGGTAGTGCCCCAACGTCCGACGCTGGAATCTTCGAGCCTCGAGGGCTGTCACGAGCGACATCCAAATTTTGCTGTGTTGCCTGAAGATGTGAAAGGAAATTGTGTTGCTTCTATGTTTAGACAGCCTTGATGCTAGTACCGCTCAACGGGTGACTTGTAGAGAACAAGACGCCTCCGTCATAACCCGCCCCGTCGCTCGCGCTTTTTTTTTTTTTTTTTTTTTTTTTGCCGAAAGTTGGCTTTGTACCGAACGTGACACCTCAAACCAAGACGCTCAAACGCGTGTGTCGTGCGAGCCCAAGTCACGATGTGAGCGATTCTTCACGACCCCGCAAAAGAATTCCGTGTTGACAGCGACAAGGGGGGCGGACACAGAAGTCTTCTTTTGCCTTGTTTGTATATCCTTCCTCCCGGCACCGACAGGAAACCTTTCTTTTTTTTCCGAATCACCATAGGGGTTTCACCACCAACCCGTGTTCCGACGAACTTTGACGTTCTCAATCGAGCGTAGCTTCTATTTTAATATTTTCCCGAACGCTGACGACGCATCGAAGAATACAAGGTCGGCGACGCAAGGAGCGAGCCGATGGCTTCCCCCCCAATATTGGATTATCCTGGAGTCTTGGCAGCGTGACGGTAGCGTTTTAGAGCATGTTACAGGCTTCGGTACAGTCTAGCCACGCCTCTAGCACCGCGTTTTTGCCGTCAACCCCACTATCACCGCAAACACGACTCACGAAACGATGACCATATAAACGTCACCACATCGTCGGCGAGTTTCGCGGCGGCTTCGATGTTTCGACGCCGTTTACTAACGTGTTTCTAACCGAAACTACCGGTCGATAACGTTCTAATTGGTGTTTCGACGTCTTGAGGGAAAGCTCGGGGCGTATGATAGCGAGCCGCTGGACAAAAATATGCGCGCAAAAGTGGTCGGCCTTCGGTAAACCTAACCGACGGAGATGGGATGGGGTCCCTACCTGCTGTCGATGCCTGCGAATGATGTCAGGTGGACGATGCCGCCTCGGCAATTTCATTTACTTGCAGAGCCCATCTGTCGGCGCGATGTCGGAGCACAATTTGGCGGGGTCGGTCTTCAAAATTACACGGCGGTCGACCATGGCGAACACATCTTCAAAGGATTACGACGCCTTCCTGCGTTTTCGGACACCCCTCAAAAAAACATCGGCTCCTTCGGCCCGTCTTGTAACCTGCCATTGCGCATGCGCGCGAATCTCATCACGCCCCCTCGCGACTGGATATTTTTGGTTTCGGTTGCGCGTTCCAGAATATAAGCGGCTTATACTCGGAACATATCTGTGTTAATTAAATGTTATTGTATTTTAAAACGTGCACCGGAAATGGAGAACGAATACAAACAACCGCCCTCTTTTCCCTTTCCATCTAGTTGCGTTTAAATGCTTTAGTTTAGCTCACTGCACTTTTTTTTTGTGTGTGTTTTTAAACAAAATTTACGATGCGTTGCACCCAGGATGGCGCTAATGGATTCCGCTATGGGACGTTTTCGGAGATAGATCAAAGGAGCCCTATCGTCTTTTTTAAATTTCTTTTTAGCTAAGTGTGTGCTCAATTCTTGCCCTCTAGATAAATAGCCAGTACCAAATTTAAAAAAAATCCAAAACTTTTTTTTCACAAGTGTTTTTGCTTGTTTTTGGTTGCAATTTTGGCTACAGTATTGAAAAAAAGCGCTGCCACGTTTAGAACAAAAATAAATTAAAGGAAAAGCATTGGAATGTCTGCTTCGCGCCTGAACGAGTAGAAGAGGGGTGCACGCTCTCTCTTGAAGTTGATCACGTCGGTGCGATGTAGCCGGGTAGATATATGGCAGCGGAGTATCGCGATCTCCTTTCGGGCTATAGACGGACACATTGTTTACAAACAAACCCGTGCTTGCCTCCACCAGGCGTGGGCACTGCGCTTGCGCACAAACCAGGTTCGCGTGATGTGAAGCTTCTGCGCATGCGCCGTGGCGACAACAGAGCCACCGCAGAGCAGTACCGTCAGAGCCGCGCGTTGGTCTATACGAGACCCTGGGTGGCCCCGTCGGGTACGCTACAGTATGCTACAGGTACTCGCTCGTGCAGTGCGAGTACCCGTAGTCTCGTTCGCCCGCCTTGCACGCTCAGCAGCGGTATCCGCTGCCCGACGCTGCTTCCACTGTTCACCGGTTTCGGCAGCCCATTTCCTTCGTTCATAATCCCTATTCCTTTTCCGCCTACTTGGATCAGCGCTAGTACTTGGTGCACACTCCATTTTGCAGCACAGACCAAGGCATAGGCGTTCCGCACACCTGCAAGTTCAGACTCGCCCAGCATCCGCGCGCGCATTGGCTTCCGCCCCGTGACGTCACCTGACTCTCGCCTTTGTCCTTTACTAGTCTCCTCCTCCCTACGTGCAACACTTTGCTACGAGGCGGGCTTCCACTGTTTTGTCCACAGACGGACTCCGTCAGCTTTTCCCTGTCATGTAAGTACTAATGCTAACGCAATAAAGTAAAAAAAAAAAAAAAAAAAAAGACACAGGTGGGCGTTGATGCATTCGGCGCCATTAGGTTGCTTCAATTTGGTTGGTTTCGTTTTCAACGTGAACGCGGCAACGTTGCTGAATTACGTTGTTTTTGCTTAATTTTGTGAAACGATTATTTTTCTTGTAACACACAACCAACGAAATGGTATTGAGCCACTTTGAGGACAACGAGGTGTATTTTAGCCTAAATTGCCCTTTTTTTTTTTACCAACTTTTTTATGTAATTGATTATGGTCGGTTGCGAAACGCCTGACTGATGTACAGGGAAGATTACCATCGTCTACGGCCGCGCCCGATGACACCAGTTTCAAAAATAATAATAATAATAGTGAAGAGACTAACACGTCAATGTAAAGCAGCATGTCGACAGCTTGATTAGCAATGTGCTGAATTGGCCAGAACAGATGAACTCGCGAGTTTACTAATCGCTGTTTGGTTTTCGTGAGCGCCAAACCTTTAGTGAACTTCGCAGACTAAGACTATATCGTGTTATGACGCAGATAATTGATATAAACAAAAAGCATCTTTTTTTTTTTCTCTTTCTTTTCTTAATTCAGTATTTGAGCATGTTTTGACAGGCCGAGTAGGAAAGTTTTTTTTAAAATTATATATATATTTTAAGCAGCTTTTCGCGATATTGGCTCTAGGAAATAAATTATTTTTATATGAACATTTGCTTACTCAAGGTACGATATAAGTGACAGGCCAGTAAAATTACAACATTGTAAAGTTCACCAGCTCGCTTGCATCTTCTCTGTAATTTCTATCAGTCAAATTAAATCTGGCATTTGTCTTCCGTAAAATTGGTAAAATTAAAGCGCGCAGGAGGAGAAATACGTCGGAAAGTTTGGCTGACTTCTAGCGCTAGGCACCACTTCACGGACTTGTGTGAACAAATATTTATTTGTTTGAACAGACTAGCTTCGTAAATTTCGGCGTCGCCAGCCACCAAAAGTAAAGCGTTATTCGCCATCGACAATCCTGGACTCAAACGACTGTTATGCAGACCGTTTTTTTTTTTTTTTGGCGTCAAATATTGCGGATTCCAGATACAAACAAAAGTTAAAACAACGTAAAAAAAAAAAAAAAAAAATTGCGCATGCGCCGAACCCAAACCGCGTTCTGGATTGGCAAACAGAAACGACGTTATTTTTTCGTGCACGCCGTATTCTAAAACTCGCTACTGTTAAGTGTCTGTGGCAGTTTCTCACGCAGGAAGTCCCAACCTTTGTGTTAAAATGAATTAAGTGGAAGGCACTGGTTGTCTAAATATAATCACTAAATCGGTTAAATGACTGTCGAAATAAGAGCGAGCACGGTATACAACTTCTTGAAATTTATAAGTAAACCGACCGACCACATGTTTACGTCGCAAAAAAAAAATTGAGAACCTCATACACACCAAACCTCAGTAGTCATAAGGACCTCTAAACCCTCGTGATGTCTTAGTCGCCGAGTAGACGTATCGGACTACAGTTTCCGAAGTAAGGCAAGAAAGCGAGGTGAAACGCGTCGAAAAACACGAATCCGCCAAGGAGCGGAGGGGGATAGCAGCCAGTTGAAGCAACCTAATGGCTGCCGCGTCACGTGATTCCAAGATGGCAGCGCCCGTGCGGAGGAGGATGAAAAGGTCGATTAAATGGCGACGCTAAAGCCACCCAAGCCAATGACACTTCAACCATCTTGGTACATGATGTCGTCGTTGCCGGTTGTCTGGAGCTTTATCGGAACTCGCAGGAAACTGATTCCCCGCCTCCAAGAATGTTGAAACGGTCCGCGGCCGAGCGAAACGATAGGGTGTTTATCGCCCGGGCTTCCCGACACCTTATCTAAACTTCAGGAAGTCGTCGACCGTTCCGATGGCTCCGGTGACGACACCCGCCGACGACCTTGCACATGCGCCACGTATTATAGAGAGTTCAGTTGATTGTTCCGATAACTCCGATGACGATACCCGATAACGATACGATGCATGCCCAAATGCGGTGGAGAGGTATAGACCTTTTCACCGTCCTCCGCATGGGCGCTGCCATCTTGGAATCACGTGACGCGGCAGCCATTAGGTTGCTTCAACTTGCTGCTCCGCTCTTCCCTCCGCGCCTTGGCGGATGCGTTGTATTCGTGTTTTTCGTCGCGTTTCATCGCGCTTTCTTGCCTTACTTCGGAAACTGTAGTTCGATGCGTCTACTGGACAACTAAGACATTACGAGGGTTCAGAGGTTTTTATGGCAACTGAGGTTTGTTTATTAAAAGTGTCGGAACATTCTCAGTCAGAAGCGCGTATATTTATATCGTGCATTTAGGATCGGAAGGCGTCAAGAATAGTCAGTGCAAGCGGACTATCTGTATTTTCTGAAAGTATCGTTCTTTGAGTTCATAATATATCGAAAACAGATTCTTTTGATTATGTCAGGAAACTCGAGGAGAAGATAGACAACGAACATTTAACTTTTATATTATCTGGGGCTAGAAGTAACGGTACGTCATTATCAGGCAATTTGTTTGTTCATAATATCTCACATACATATGTATGAGGTCCTCGATCTTTTTTTTGAGACGTAAACATTCGGTCGGTCGGTTTACTTATGAAGTTTAAGAAATTGTATACCGTGATCGCTCCCATTTCGACGGTTATTTAAGTGATTTATGGATTATATTTAGGTAACCAGTGCCATCCACTTGACTTATTTTAACAAAAGGTTGAGGCTTCCCGCGTAAGCAACTGCCACAGGCACTTAACGGTAGCGAGTTTTAGAATAGCGCAGAAAGAAATGACGTCGTTCCTATTTGCAAATACAAAACGCGGTTTGGGTTCGGCGCATGCGCAATATTAACAATGCTTTTTCGTTATTTCTTTTTTTTTTTTTTTTTTTTGCATACGCTGTTTGATCTTTTGCCAGCATCTAAGGTCCGCAATAATTGACGCCAAAAAACAACAACAAAAAACAGAGCCGCTTGCGTAACAATCACTTGAGTTCAGGATTGTGGATGGCGAATAGAGATTTACTTTTGGTGGATGGCGACGCCGAAATTTACGAAGCGAATCTCTTCGGGGCCAAATAAATATTTGTTCACACAGGTCCGTGAAGTGGTGCCTAGCACTAGGAATCAGCCAAACATTCCGAGGTATTTCTCTTCCTGCGCCCTTTAACTTTATTCGGCCAATTTTACGGAACACAAATGCATGCCAGATTTAATTTGACGGGCCTGTCACTTAATTGATATCTTGAGTAAGCAAATATTAATATAAAAATCATTTATTTCCTAGAGCCAATATCGCGAAATGCTGTTTATGAGTACTTTAACAGGGTTCATAATTTAAAAAATTTCCTACTCGGCCTGTCAAAACATGCTCGAGTACTCAATTAAAAGAATAAAAGAAAATGAGGCCGAGACGATACTACTTGTTTCTATCAATTATCTGCGTCGTTACACGATACTTTGTTAGTCTGCGAAGTTCACTAAAGGTTGGGTGTAACGAAAACCAAACAGTGAGTCGTAAACTCGCGAGTTCATCTGTTTTGCTCGATTCAGCACATTGCTAATCAAGCTGTCGATATGCTTCTCTACACTCACGTGCTAGTCTTTTCATGAGTATTTTTTTTTTCTGGAAACTGGTGTCATCGGTACGGCCGGTGACGATGGTAATCTTTCATGAACCTCAGTCAGACGTTTCGC